TACCTTTCCAAATTAATAAATTATAAATCTTAATAAACATCCATCTACTGCAAATACACAATTCCTTAAAAGTTGATAAATTGTGAACCTTATTAAACAACCAGTCACTGAAAACAGCAGTATTTTACCCATTAATAAATGGTCAACCTTAACAAACATCCAGTCACTGTGAAATGAAAGTTAATAGGTCACTGAGACTAGCAGTACTTGTTTATTACCCAGTTGTTTTGCCTATCAATCAAAGTTCAATCGTTTAAATGTCTGGTGAAGCAAGACTCAATGAGTCGTGTTAATAAAGATGATGGTGGTTTGTACGGCTGGGTGGTGGTTTTTGCAAGTCACATTTTATTAGCCTTGGTTCTAGGATGTCAAATAGGTATGGGTGTATTCCTTGTGCAGTTTATGGAGTGTTTTGGAAAAGGAGCTGGGAAAACTGCAACAATTCAAGCAATTCTCTCCGCAATGATGCTGTGCCCAGGTAAGAATTATACATATCGGGAATACATAAGGACTATTTCCATGGTCCACAGCAAGTCAGAATAACCATTGTATTTTTTTTTAAGTTCTGTAAATATGGTCATTCTGGTGAAATAAATAAAAAAACTTTAGCTCAAACTGCTATGTGCATGTTTTTCATAATGCATAACATTAAGCCTAATAATTATAAAGCACAAACTGAAAAATTATTATATTCTTCATGTTGACTATTACATGTAGAAAAGATATGACACATAGTATTATTTGTTATAATTGCCCACACCAGTCATTTTTGGAACTTTCTAATCTTGGGTTTAAAAAACACATATTGGACAGTGTACAAAGATTGAGTTGACCTATTTACCTCAAACAATAACTTCTGGACTTGTACATGACCCTTGAAAGCAGGGACATTATTAAATCTTGATGTATGTCGCTTTTTTGCATACCAGACTTAAATAGTTGACTGGTGGCCATTTTGTATTAACAAATGCTGCAGACATTAATCTCCGACCTGCTTTTTATCTGTTAGTCATATGAGACATCTGTAAACACCAACTAACAGATAGGTGGTTCATATGTCACCCTGTAAACTGTTGTATTTGTATGTTCTATTAAAGTGATTTTCAGTAAAACTTGCTAATAATGTAATTTTTTGTTGTTGATTTTATCGTAGCTCCTTTGATTAACAGTTTAAATGTTGGTACAAGACCATTGGTTATTTTTGGTGGAATAGTGTCCAGTATTGGTATATTCATATGTTCATTTGCCAATAGTGTTAACTTATTAATTATAAGTTATGGTATGGTTGTAGGTAAGACGTTTTATTTATTACCAAAATAATTCACCATGAGTGGTTTCCATGGTGAGTGATTTTACTTGAGGGTGGTTGCTTTCATGAAGGGTGATTTTCATAGAGAGTGATTTACATGGACAAATCCATTAATGATTGGGTTGCAAATATTTATCCTACCACAGTTCACTAAACAAGACTCCTTAAAATATATATTTCATTAAATTACTTAACCCTTGTATGTTTTCTTATAAAATAGTATAGTAGCATTACATTCAAGCAGTTAGTCTAAATATGTTAAATAACTGTAAACTGGAGGAAGTACTCTGTCTAAACTAATACAGTGACTTCCTGTTAATATTTGGCGTCAAAATTCCATTTCAAATCAATTAATAAAACGATGTGAGATGTATACATGTCAGAGAAAATCTGGATGACGAGATCAAATCTGTGATTTGGCTACCACTCAGTCATTGTGAACAAAATACAAAAAAATGTACATTTCATAACCACATTTACATATTGTAACAATTTATTTCAGGGATTGGATTTGCTTTTTTATACGGACAGAGTATTATAATTGTTGGAAAGTATTTTTACAGACGTCATGCATTAGCTAATGGGATTGCCTATGCTGGGGGTGCTGTTGGTATTATGGCCTTACCGCCATTATATCAAGTGCTGATCAATAAATATGGGTGGAGGGGTGCAATGATTGTGATGTCTGGAATCAATATGCATTCAATTGTAAGTGGAATGTTAATGAGGCCACCACCAAAACATGATTCAAGTGAAACATTGGATACAATGAATAATGCACCAATAATGGATGAAACATGTGTGATCGAATCAAAAGTTAAAAAAGAGAAAGAAGGTACACTAACGGAGACAAATTACAAACAATGCCAGGTTCACCAAAACAGATGTGATGAGTCTGATGCCACAGAAAGAAAAAATATTGGTAACAGAAATCCCAAGAAGCTAAGAACAAAAATTGTTGTTAAATTTGGATTGTATTTGTTCACCGATTCTTGGTTCAACATTCTCTGCATTACTGCTTTTTTGAGTGCACTCGGACATTTAGCAGTTATGGCTCATCTCATATCAAATGCTGCATCTTACGGAATTCCAAAACTGGATGCAGCATTTTTAATGACAATCTTGGGGATTGGTGCATTAGGAGGAAGAGCCACTCATGGATGGTTTGTTGATTTGGGACACTTTTCTCCAATGTTTGTTGTAGCAGGGGCTTGGTGTGCTGCTGGGACAGTTGTGTTGCTGTTACTGATTGCCAATGGCAACTACATAGTATATGCATGTCTATCTGTATCCTATGGTTTTTTAAGTGGTATAGCTATTCCACTGAATGGTGCTGTGTGTATGAAGGCCTGCCTGCCGAATGAAACATTTCCCACAGCATTTGGATGGTTTTTGTCGCTGCTTGGTTTAGGAAACTTGCTTGGACCTGTTCTAGCAGGTAAGAATCAATAATCTAAGTAACTGGGAGGTTAATATAAGGGATTAATCTATTATCTTGAGTCACTCAGGGTTATTCCAGGATGGAATTTTCTTGAGTGTATACACTACCCAAATTTGAAAAAAATGCCATGTTATGTGCAAAATATTATTTGAGATTGGATGTGAACCAATTATCAAGAATTAACTTGTTCATGCATGTTGACTGATGGTAATCTTTATGATTTGAATTTATTAATTTTACTGCATAAAGCAATTAAGTTTCAAATCATGTGTGAGAATCAATTCTTCCTATGGTATTATTGTGTTTGTTTCAGGTTGGATTTATGATGCAACCTCCAACTACAATATGTCATTTTTATTGGCTGGCATCATACTGATTCTGACAGGACTGCTCATCTTTATGCAAATCATTTACAAGAGATGTCGAAGAAAAAAATTAGGGATGGATACACAAGAAAAAGAAGAATCGCTTTTGAGAATTCCCGGAAACACAATTACATCCAGTAATAGTGTAATTCAGAAAGTCACTACTGTGTAGGTCAAAATAAAAACATGCAATACATTGTAATAATATCTATTTTGTCCAACGATTACTTCAGGTAGTAACAGGGATTGTTTTAACTCGATATTCCACTTCCCGGACCCCAAATATTAGAGAGAAGCCCACTATTATAAAATAAAAAAGGTTTTGTAATAAAGATACACATCGTATACATGTATTCCTCTACATTGGAACTCAATACACCAAAATGCTAACAGAATGTTTTTTTTAAAACAATCATAATTAGAAATTACCAACTACATGTATATGTAACCACGGTTACTAGAAGAAACTAGTTATGTTATTCGTAACCCAACAGTAAAATACCCAAACAATAACCTAGTTACGAATACTAACATTTTAGAACATTCCCAGACAGAGTTTTTTGGGTACAAAATGCCATGGTCAATTTCGTTTCACAGACGGCAAATCTGTCAAACAATCAGTATTTTCATTTTTTTCAAGAACAGCGAAACCCCGAGTATCACACAACAGTAAGTCAGTAACGCTTATACATCGATATTTCGGCTTAATGAGCTCCATTTCTTCAATTTAGTGGACTCGCATAGAAAACGAGCGGCGCTAGCGATATAAGAGATGACGTCATAGTGGTTGGACACGCATCAAAGTGAAGTCAATGGTAATTAGCATATCTAACAATAGAGTTTCCTAACTGTTCTTCTAGTAACCGTGATGTAACTAAGATTCTGTATACTAAGATTACCTGTAAATAGGTTGTATGTGATATCACAGGACTTATCACGTAATAACCTCTAAATTTGTCATGTAACAAGTCATTGATCAAAGAAAGCTTAGAAAGAACTCCCGTGTGCTGAGAGTATTGAAGACACATTAAAAATTAATTCAAAATTACTTGAAC